ATGGCATTATCTTGTGCGCTGTGAACTCACCGGAGGCAGCTTCACGGCGGAGCGGGAGGCTGTTCGCCGGTCGCTGCAGCATGCACAATGCTTTCGGCTGTCGTAAGGACTCTACCTTCAGCATCTCGTAGAGGCAACCAGGGCGTTGCGCAGCCCAGTTTGTGATTAATCAGCGTGCTCTAACGGGTTATCATGGCTTCCAGCTCTGGGAAGATGAACCAACCCCCCGGCGGCAGCGGTGCATGTAACGGTACCGCTATTGCGGATATCCCCAGTGGTGTGAATGCAGAGCAGGAACTGTATGATTATCAAATGCACACGAAAATGTGCAAGAAAATAGCACAGTTGACAAAGGTAAGTGCGTAATTTTAATACTCAACTAACGGGACTCTTTATCTGAATTATCTGTTTTCTAGATATCCGTTCACACATCCGCAGATGTGTGTCTACATACATACATACACACACACACACAAACACACAAATGTCTCTTTTTGCTACTGCGGATATTTTACGCTAAATCATTTACATGTAGGCTACTTAAAGGTGTAAGGCTATATTTAGGACTGTAATAGAAAAGTGTAGACAATTACAATACTGGTTGTCACTTTGGATAAAAAGGTATATGCAAGTGACCAAACAATGTGTTTCACAGCACATTAAATTAAATGTATGTGAACAAAATTAAACACAATTTATTGATGAAACACAACTTCCTAGATGCAAACACATTTACAGAAACCTCCCCTTATACTGTCAACCTCTGGACTTTGGGGTTTCAGTTTGAATGATGCATTTTGGTTAAACTGCACCTTGATGATGTATGATAAATTCAATAGCCATAATTCTATCTGACACTGCCTGAAAAATGATTGTCCTCTTGGCCAACAATGAAGAATAACTATAAATACATTAGGGTTAAGGGCTGTATTATCTACACACAATTAATGGCTAATACATAGTCATTTGGGCCTTTACTTTTTTGAACCCTTATCATTTTTGGTCATCTTTATTAGAACTGTAAAAGAAAAATGAAGAGTTTATTTGCAAAACAGATAACTCCATTTTATTTTTTTCAATTTTCAAAAATCATGTTTTTTATTATGTTACCATGTTTTTATTGTGTTTTATTTTGTTAGTTAGCTGTATTTTTTTGTTATTTCTTACCTAATCAGAATAACCAAACTACAGTTTGATTGACATTAATCGGAATGAAAAAACATGAATTTTGAAAATTGTTACATTGTTACATTTAACATAATTGTTAAAATTGTTAACAGAGTTATCTGTTTTTGCAAACTCTTCAAATATTGCTTAAAATAAGGCTTAAAATCTTGTATTCTCTATGGCCTTGGAATAGAGCACTTAAATATACAAAATGTACAATAATACTGTACATCCAAAAATGTACATTCAAATGTCACTTTGGATAAAAAACATACATTAAAATACCAAAAGATCAAACAACCTACAGCATAGCCCACACACTGAACACATGAAATTAAAAGTAAATGAGCACAAAATTTAGTTTAGCAACGAAGAACTTCTTAATAGAAGCAAATGCATTTACACAAACTTCCCTATATTGTCAACCTCTGGAGTTTCAGTTTGAATTATGTATTTTTTGTTAAACTGCACCTTGATGATGTATGATAAAATCAATAGCGATAACTATATCTGTCGCTGTGTGAAAAATGATGACCCTCTTGGCCATTTATAAAGTGTGAAAACAGAGGTTAAAGGCTTTAATATCTATACACTATTAATGGCTAATGCATACACAGTCATTTGGAACTGTTAAGGGGAAGGGAAGTGAGAGAGTATGTATCAGGTTTTATTAGGGAAGATGCCATATTTACTGAGAGTGAAAACAAGGCTGTGGGGATGTAAGCCTTTTCTATGGACTTGGAATTTATTTGTGGAAAGCATTTTTTTTTTTGAATGTTGGATACCCAGGTATATGTGCAACAGTACAAGCTAATGAACGGCCTGTACATATGTCCCTCAAAGCCTTGTTTTTATTCTTGTCAAATTAAAAAAATGGTGTCTTGCTAAACAAAAGGTCAGGGCTCGAAATTCAAACCTGCCATGCTGTGTGTGTGTATATATGCATGCAGGAGTGTGTATGTGAGAGTATGCCTATTTTATTAGGGAAGATGCCATATTTACTGAGAGTGAAAACAAGGCTGTGGGGATGTAAGCCTTTTCTATGGACGTGGAATAGATTTTTGGAAAGCATTTTTTTTTTTGAATGTTGGATACCCAGGTATATGTGCAACAGTACAAGCTAATGAACGTGCTGTACATATGTCCCTCAAAGCCTTGTTTTTATTCTTGTCAAATTAAAAAAATGGTGTCTTGCTAAACAAAAGGTCAGGGCTCGAAATTCAAACCTGCCATGCTGTGTGTGTGTATATATGCATGCAGGAGTGTGTATGTGAGAGTATGCCTATGAGCTTGAATGTCACAGCTGTGTGGAATCCCTCTCTCTATCATCATGTAAATAGATATCTTTAGCTGTGTGTGTGTGTGTGTGTGTGTGTGCGTGCGTGCGTGCGTGCGTGTGTGTGTGTGTGTGTGTCTATTAGAACAGATGTGTGAGTCATACCCTCTCTACATTCGGCTCAGCTTTTTTGACACTTAGTAATGCTACACACCAAGCCACACTATTTTTACCAATCAGGAGCATAGGAGATTTGATCTACTTCAGTCTATTATTAATATAAGAGCATGATGCGGCTAAAATGGGTGGCATGACACTAAATGCTAAAAATAAAATGTGTT